ACTTTTACAGATTTCTGATAAATCATACATAGTTTCTGAAAGGGGAAAACTCCAGAAAGCTACTTTAATACTAAAATCAAGACAGGACTAGAGCAGGTGTACCAAGATGCTCTCTCACTCACAAACTTTGTTTCCAAAACATCTCCCGAATTCGCAAAAGTTTTGGCTGCATCTTGTGAAAGTAGACGGCAACAAAGCTAAAGATTAACGATGCTGTCCAGACTTTCACATCCCACTGTATTTCTAACTTTCTGTATTCATGTCATTTCCTCAGTTTAGCTGCCAAAAATCATCACTCATTGAAAAGAAACGTGCTTCAGTGTTAATTTTATTGGCAAAATATTTTGTTTTGTCTATGGGACTAATGAATTTCTGCAGATGAAAATGAAACTAAAATTAAAAATGATTACTTCTATAAAAACTAAATTATGACAAATATTGATCAACATTTTCATCGACCAATAAAAGACGAAAAAAAATTGACAGCAATAAAAACGAATCAAAAACTAGAACAAAGGAACAGACAAAAGAACAAACCAGCAAATGAAACGGGCTGGACTAGACGAAAAAAGAACCAATCAGGGTCAGGAGACGGACGCTGTTTAAACAAGCTAGCGGTAACGGTTGAATGATTTATGTCTAAAATTAATTGTGACGATCTGAAAAGTATTTGCTTGGTGAGTAAGGCTGGACAATAATTCAACAACAATGTTTATCGATCAATAGACATCTGGTGCTAAAATTGGACCAATAAAAACTTCAATAAAAAGTTTCCTTTTTCCATTATAGCCTATCCTGTAGCTCCATATTAGAATCAATACTTAAACCTAACCAAGACAGACCCAAGCGTGCTCCCTCACCAAGCCCTCCCCTCTCAAACCCAAACAAAGAGCAGTGTGGCGATACTGTCATTCTTACAATTCTGACAAAAAACAACAGCAGTTTGCAAATTTGCACAATCCTCTGGAGGTCTCTTCCTGTTAAAGTGGAGTTTTCCCCTCCACTGTCGCTGCATGCTTGCTTAGTATGAGGGTTGCTGTAAAGACACTGACACCAGTCAGGGACTCGATGCAACCTGCTGGGTTCCTTATATAGGAAACGTTTTACTGATTGGCTTAATGAACTGACCTGTATTGGAATGTTTACTGTGTGAAGTGCCTTGAGACGACTCTTGTCGTGATTTGTTGCTATATAAATAAACTGAAATGAATTGTTATTGTTGGTACACCATGACGCCAGATGTTGGACCTTGTTTTTTTAATCTGTCTCATTATCAATGGTGATGAGTCAGAGCACTGTAGTGTCATCGGTGAACTTGACTGTGAGATTGGAGGGGAAAGAGGAGGAGCAGTTACGGGTGAACAAGGGTGCAGAGCAGGAGAGTCAGCACACCCCCCTTGTCCCAGATACTATTTGAAAGAAGAAGAGAGAGACCTACCTGTGTGAGTCCTCATTTAATGAGTCAAGTTACTAATCTGAGAGAAACACATGTTTCACATGAATATGGATTATCACCTGTGTGAATGTGAACTGTTTAGTCTAGTTACCTTTCAGAGGTTCTGGTTTACAGCAGTCCGTTTCTACAGGAGGAGCAGTCACCATGAAAGGAACATTTTCCTGCTTCAGAATGAACGGCCCTTCATGTTGACTGATGCAAACTTCCTGCTGTTCCTCTTTCATCAGTAGAGGTTCTGGTTCCTTGTGGTCCAAACTGGAGGTGGTTCCGATTCCGTAGGAGTTCATCTGTGAATCCAAAAGGGTTTAAATAAAGGCAACTGGCCTTATTTCGCTTCTTGATTACGTGACAGTTCTCATTCAAGGAGCTTTTACTCAGTTCATCTGTGGTTTCCAGCTCTTATCCGGTTGTCTGCGCTGACGATCCCTTCGTTGAACTTACTAGCGGCTTATTCTGATTTTGTGAATATTTCTTTAGCAGCTAGTCGCTTACTGACAAACTCTGTCAGCGTTGATAGAGACTTCTAAAGCAGAGATTCAAATGTTCACCTCACAAACCAAAACATCAACGAGCTAACTTGCCTAAGTGTCCTCTCTTCTTGTTTTTTGTTGGCAGTCGGCAAAACAATGCAGTGGTGCATTACCGCCATCTACTGGCGAGGAGTGATATGGAACGTCAGGAATAAACAACAACCCAGATTAACCCTCACATTTTGTTCATTTTTGAAAGTCTCGTCCTGTTTCTAAACCATCAGTCACAGATAACACCCTCAGTGACTGCTCCTTGACCTTAGAAGCTTGCTGCTGATTTTCTAATGACTTTACACACAACTTAAGAGGGAGGAAATGGGATATTTATTTTGCAAAAATAAAAATATCACTTTGAACAAAGTATGACAGTTTGAATAAGACCATTTTAACTTTGACTACATTCTTGCATGTTCTTTTATGTCAAATTTCCAAAATGTGATAATGAAAAGGCATAATGTCATCAGTTGGAGGGCACAAGGTTACGCACCAAAGCTGCATGCACTGCAGCATGGTGGTTGTACAGGCGTATCTGGCTGCAGATGTTGGTCATTTTCACTTCTATCTCCTCTATAATTCTCACAGAGAGCACACAGCATGTGATCAACATGGACTAAACTCTCTCATGGCTGCAGTTGTTGCATTTATGAAGACATCGCCATCTTCCTTTATGTCTGCCGAAAGCATTTTCAACCACCACTCTTGCTTTGCTTATTTTTAAGTTGAACATATGTTGGTTTGTGAGGTCATCATTGTCTGGAAAGGGCTTCACGAGTAAGCTTGTCAGAGGATAAGCAACGTCTCCGATGATGTAGTCAACATCTTGTCTTTCGATGCTCCTGTAATGCTGTGAAAACACCCTCTCTCCTCCCAGTCCTGACAAATAAAACTCTGGCATCATATAAGCTTCCAGGTTGCCCTGTGTATACATTCCAAAACAAACCTCTTCTGTCAACAACTGCCTTTGAAATATTAGGATACATCCCTTTCGGTTGAAAATCTCAGTGTGGTACTCCTGGGGTGCTAAAATAGGAATAAGTGAACCATCAACAGTCCCCACACATTGTGACCCCACCCCCCACCCACCCCATCTCTACTCGAAGTATTGAGACAGTTCTTGTAGTTTTTCTGCATTGCAAGCAAACTGTATTTTTGTTTTGGAGTAAGACCTTACCGATGGATGCCCATTAGGGTCAAAAATCCCTGGGAGCACAACCTCCAGGGCAGGGTGTTTCTCATTGTCAAGGAACCTTGCCTTGATGTCTTGGTCCCACCCCGGTTGCCTAGGAGATACATCATCAGAAACCGCCAAGCATGTTCCAATGTTCATGTTCTACTGACGCGTCTGTTCTCTGTTTGTTAGCCGTTTAGCTAGCTGTGCAAGGATACACGAAAGGTGCCTTGTAGCCTGGAAATTTCTCTGGATACACTGCACTATTTTCAAAAAGACAGCAGATCAGGAGCCAGCAGCTACTTTGCAGAAACATTTCTAGTTTAAATGTAACTCAACTAATCAGGCTGATATCTAAAAATGTTTTTTTATCCAAACAGTTATCCATGGTTGGTTAGTTGCTTAGTAGTTGCAGCTTTGGTGGCTAGTGGGTAGCAACTCAATTACAAATTTAAATTCACAATATATACACACACAATTTAAAAAGTAAAAGGCTCGTTACGTATGTACAGTCAGGTCCATAAATATTGGGACATTGACACAATGCTAACATGTTTGGCTCTATACACCACCACAATGGATATCAAATGAAACAAACGAGATGTGCTTTAACTGCAGACTGTCAGCTTGTATTTGAGGGTATGTACATCCAAATCAGGTGAACGGTGTAGGAATTACAACAGTTTGCATATATGCCTCCCACTTGTTAACGGACCAAAAGTAATGGGACAATTGGCTTCTCAGCTGTTCCATGGCCAGGTGTGTGTTATTCCCTCATTATCCCAATTACAATGAGCAGATAAAAGGTCCAGAGTTCATTTCAAGTGTGCCATTTACATTTGGAATCTGTTGCTGTCAACTGTCAAGTTGAGATCCAAAGAGCTGTCACTATCAGTGAAGCAAGCCATCATTAGGCTGAAAAAACAAAAGAAACCTATCAGAGAGACAGCAAAAACATTAGGCGTGGCCAAAACAACAGTTTGGAACTTTTGGAAAAGAATAAACGCACTGGTGAGCTCAGCAACACCAAAAGACCCGGAAGACCACGGAAAACAACTGTGGTGGATGACCGAAGAATCCTCTCCCTGGTGGTGAAGAAAACACCCTTCACAACAGTTGGCCAGACCAAAAACACTTTCCAGGAGGGAGGTGTATCTGTGTCAAAGTCAACAATCAAGAGAAGACTCCACCAGTGTGAATACAGAGGGTTCACCACAAGATGTAAACCATAGGTGAGCCCCCAAAACAGGAAGGCCAGATTAGAGTTTGCCAAACAACATCTTAAGGAACTGCTCATGACCCTAAGCATACCACCTCATCAGTGAAGCATGGTGCTGGAAGTGTCATGGGCCATGACACTTCCAGCACCATGCTTGTACAGGCGTATCTGGCTGCAGATATTGGTCATGCCCATGCCATGACCAATATCCAGTGACCAAAGCCTACTGGTTGTGCAGCACCAGGCTAAAGACCAAAGGTGACAGATCATTTGCTGCTGTGGCCCCCAGACTTTGGAATGCTCTCCCTCTATGCCTGAGGTCAGTGGACTCAGTGGTCTTCAAAAAGCAGCTGAAAACTCACTGGTTCAAGCTTGCTTTTGTGTGACCTTCATCACCAACCTCTCCTTGTTCTGCTCATTCTATTAGTTCTGCCTTTCCCAGGATACACTGATTTCCCTCTTTCCTATTCATTTTCTCTTTCCCTTTCCTTACAATTTTAGCGCCTCGTGTTTTTTTGGGAGGCACTTTAGAAAAGATAATTTTCTTTTCTTTTTTTAATTCTTCATAACATTCTTGCTCACACTTTATACCAGTAGGTGGCGGTAATGCACCACTTCATTGTTTTGCTAACTGAATACAAAAACCAAGAAGGAGACGACTGACTGTTAGCCATGTTAGCTGCTTGTTCTTTGGGCTTGTGAGGTCAACATTTTCGTTTCTGCTCTAGAAATGTTTATCAACGCTGATTAAGTTTATCAGCAAGCGACTAGGTGTTGAGCAAATATTCACAAAGTCTGAAAAAGCCACCGTCCACGAAGGGATCGATCGTCATCGCAGACAGTGTGATATGAGCTGGAAACCACAGATCAACTCCTACAGAATAGGTATGAAACACCAGCGGCACTCGTGTGGTTTTACTGAGAAAATCTTAAGAAGGTCTGAATGTTTGTGTCTGTAAACAACAAACCTGCAGTACCCATATGTCCCATCCACGAAGTAAATAAGATTTTGAATCATTAAATCTTACTGAAACTGTGTCTAGCTCTGTAGCTGATCAGACTACACATCTGCCTGCTTTCAGTTCTTTAGTAGAACTATGTGTGCTTATTTATGAATACATGTTTTTCATTTCATTTAATTATAGAAAAAAACATAAAACCTGAAGCTGCAGATATATACAACCAAGAATGAAAGGGAGCAGAAAGAATAGAAACTTCTTAATCTCCGCCCCTTTGTTTGTCAGTAGCCACGTTTACATGCGCATATTTAATCGGATTAAATGCTTGGTCCATATGTACGCATGGCATGATCATGGATCATTTCAGTTCGTGTCCATGTGAACAGAGATTCGGAAATTCCGATCAACCAAGATTTCAATCAGATTGAGGAAATTTGGCACATGAAACGCAGCTAGTGAAACAATAACAAACAAACAAACAAACAAAAAACTATCACAGTCTTTCATTGTTAAATGTGCTGTGGCACACAGTTCAGTCTACAGCAGTTAGTAGATATCTGCTCTGACTATGGAGTAGAACACAGCATTCTGTATAAAGTGTGTTTTTGATTTGCTGGCCAAGGAGGATATTTTTATCTGTCAAATGTCACGATTATCACCAAGAAAGTCAAATATCTTGATCATATCATCACAGAGGACATGAGAGATGATGACATGGGCAGTGCTGTATGTTTAATGTTCAGGGAAATACACCCGCTCTTAAGTTTGGGTCTTGTTCTGATAAAAGTAAAGATAACCTTGTTTAAGGCTTACTGGACACCACTGTACACGGCCCACCAATGGACTAAAGTAATATGGAACATTCTAATAAAAAGCTATATTCTGATTCTGAATCCACAAGATGTTCTAACGGTAAATACTGTTGTAAAATAAACTTATTAGTAGAAATGAGTCCTTATTCTTTATGATTTGTCACTGAACATGGTGCTGTAACATGTCAGCAGTTCTGCTGTTGCGATACCCCCTCCTGAACACCAGAGTTCGCCAGAGTGTCCGTGTTCCATATTCAACCATAAAATTTACATTGCGTAAGGGCTCCACAACTCATTGTTAAAATTGTAAAAACAATTTGTTTTAGCAAAAACTTTAATTCCTAGTTTCTTAGTTCAAATTTTAGCTTTTATTTAACATTTCTTTTTTATGGTCAACCCTTAATTCAACTACGTGGTTTTTATAATCCTTACATGTTTTATTATTCACCAGTGGTCCTTTGAGATCTTCACTTGTAAATGGCATTTTACATTAAATGTATTTATTATTATTATTATTATTATTATTATTATTATTATTATTAATAATAATAATAATAATAAAACTTCTTTAGTTGTATCTAATGATTAAAGTGAAGCGTGCTTTCTTCACATGCCATCTGGCCACATCATTTTCTTTGGTCTTTTAGCGTGTCCAGAAGTCCCACAGGATCATGTCTGGGACAAGGAGGAGGTCGTGACTGGCCAGCAGCGCTGTAAGCAGGGGACCTCCTCCAGTTTGGACCACAAGGAACCAGAACCTCTACTGATGAAAGAGGAACAGCAGGAAGTTTGCATCAGTCAACATGAAGGGCTGTTAATTCTGAAGCAGGAAAATGTTCCTTTCATGGTGACTGCTCCTCCTGAAGAAACGGACTGCTGTAAACCAGAACCTCTGAAAGGTAACTAGACTAAACAGTTCACATTCACACAGGTGATAATCCATATTCATGTGAATCATGTGGTAAGTGTTTCAGATTAGTAACTTGACTCATTAAATGAGGACTCACACAGGTAGGTCTCTCTTCTTCTTTCAAACAGTATCTGGGACAAGGGGTGTGTGTGCTGACTCTCCTGCTCTGCACCCTTGTTCACCCGTAACTGCTCCTCCTCTTTCCCCTCCAATGTCATAGTCAAGTTCACCGATGACACTACAGTGCTCTGACTCATCACCATTGATAATAAGACAGATGAAAAAAACAAGGTCCAACATCTGGCGTCATGGTGTACCAACAATAACAATTCATTTCAGTTTATTTATATAGCGACAAATCACGACAAGAGTCGTCTCAAGGCACTTCACACAGTAAACATTCCAATACAGGTCAGTTCATTAAGCCAATCAGTAAAAAGTTTCCTATATAAGGAACCCAGCAGGTTGCATCGAGTCCCTGACTGGTGTCAGTGTCTTTACAGCAACCCTCATACTAAGCAAGCATGCAGCGACAGTGGAGAAGAAACCTCCAGAGGATCATGCAAATTTGCAAACGACTGTTGTTTTTTGTCAGAATTGTAAGAATGACAGTATCGCCACACTGCTGTATGGGTTTGAGAGGGGAGGGCTTGGTGATGGAGCTCGCTTGGGTCTGTGTTGGTTAGGTTTAAGTATTGATAGATGTCCAACCAGGAGGAGGCCTAAAGGTAGACCCAGGACACGTTGGAGGGATTCTGTCTCTAAGCAGGCCAGGGAATGCCTTGGGATTCCCCCAGAGGAGCTGGCCGAAGTGGCTGGGGAGAGGGATGTCTGGGCGTCTCTGCATAGGCTGCTGCCCTCATGACCTGACCCTGGATAAGTGGATGATAATGAATGGATGGAAAAGTAATCAAAACAGACTATTACTAAACAAATGTTTCTGACATTTAACCTTTTCTTACATATGGTTTTAAAATGTTGCTTCTCTTCCTCCTGGCTGAACCAGTTTTAACATTACACACGAATCCCAAACTAAACAACCCAGTGTCAAACAGATCAAGTATAGTCCCACCTCTTTCTCCCAACAGAACCTGGAGATAATATTCCCTCCAAACAAAAAATCCACACATCTGTTTGTACAGAGAAACCAAGTCCTAAAACAACTACTAGGGTGTTACTTCCCCGACAGGTGTTAAAATGTGAAGGAGGGGGTAACATAAGAATTGCAACAGTGGATTTAAAATGGGTTTTATTGTTGTAAAAGGTTCTAAAAACAAGTGCAAACAGATGGCGAGCATTATTAAAATAATGCAAAATGAAAAATTCACTATAAGGTTAACAGTTAAAGGACAACTTATCAACTATATAAAACACCTGGTTAAAACTCATGTTAAAAGTTTTACCAAAACAGAAGGTGTTTAAAACCAGAGTCAATAAAATTGCATCCAAGTTAACCTTCAAAACAATCCCTCTGGATCACTCAAAGCTTTACCCTCTTAAAAGCTCATCACTCAGAGTTTAAACTTTAAAAGTAAAAACTCATCACAAACAAAGGGGTTGAAAACAAACTGAGGCCTGGATGACAGCAGGACCCCTGTACTGCTGAAGGCACAGACTTTTTATCCCAGGTGTGGGTCGTCAGCAGGATTCAGCTCAGCTGTGCTCCTCAGCAGCCTGGAGGAGAGGAGGAGGAGGGGCGGTGTTGGGCTGATCACCAGGGCTGGGTGGTCCTGGCTCCTGCATCCCAATGGCCAGGCTGGTAGCCGTAACATAGGGCTAGTCCCCAAAACGTACACAACTAAATATAAAGGTAACACAGTGATAGTCCCAACGCCATCCAGCAGCAAAGAAAGGAGAGAAAAATAAAACACAAAATTAGTCTATCAACCATGTCAAAATAAAACAAGCCACCCTGACCCTGGCAACCAGTGGGAACACCACACAGAACAAGCCATCACAGGCGTCCAAAACTACTGCAGGGTGTCACAATACAGCCTTTACACCGAAGTGTTCAGTTGTTCTACCTGGTGGGGATATTTTCCTTCACATAAACCATGGCTTGGTTGTTATTTCCCAAAACATCGTTAGATGCAACAGATGATAAAAGTAAAGCTTTCTTTTTATATTGCCACGTTAATCAGCATTTTGTTTGGTCTGTGTTTTTGTCCAGAAGTCCCACTGCATCATGTCTGCAAAAAGGAAAAGGTTGTGACTGACCTGCAGCTCTGTGAGCCGGAGACCACCTCTAGTTTGGACCAGAAGGAACCAAAACCTCTTCTAATGAAAGAGGAACAGCAGGAACTCTGCATCAATCAGCATGAAGGGCCGTTCATTCTGAAACAGGAACGTGTTCCCTCCATGGTGACTGCTCCTTCTGAAGAAACAGACTGGTGTAAACCAGAACCAGACAGGAACCAACCCTTGTGTCAGAGTTCTGCTGAAGCTGAGAACCAAGATCAGGATGGATGCTGGAGTGAAAACTCAGAATCAAACAACAGTGATAATGAACTGATACAAAATAAAAGACAAAGACAAACTAAAGATACACACAGAGAATGTGTAGATGGTCCCAAAAGGCTCAAAGGAACTCACACAGGTGATAGGCCATTCACATGTGAAACGTGTGGTAAATGCTTCTCTGAGAGAAAAATCTTGACTGTTCACCGAAAGACCCACACTGGCGATAAGCCATATCATTGTGAAGCTTGTGGTAAATGTTTCTGTCAGAGTAGTCAGCTGACCCATCACATGAGAACTCACACAGGCGAGAAGCCGTTCACATGTGAAACTTGTGGTGATTGTTTCTCTCACAGTAGTAACTTGACTCATCACATGAGAACTCATACAGGTGAGAAGCCGTTCACATGTGAAACGTGTGGTAAGTGTTTCTCTCTGAGAGGTAACTTAACTAAACACATGGCAACTCACACAGGTGAGAAGCCATTTTCATGTGAAACTTGTGGTAAATGTTTCTCTCAGAGAAATAGCTTGGTTGTTCACATGAGGACTCACACAGGTGAGAAGCCATATTCATGTGAAATTTGTGGTTATTGTTGCTCTCACAGTAATTCCTTGACTAATCACATGAAAATTCACACAGACGAGAAACCATATTCATGTGAAACTTGTGGTTATATATGCTCTCACAGCAGTACCTTGACCAATCACATGAGAACTCACACAGGTGAGAATCCGTTTTCATGTGAAACTTGTGGTAAAGTTTTCTCTCAGAGAAATATGTTGGCGGTTCACATGAGAACTCACAGAGGTGAGAATCCATATTCATGTGAAACTTGTGGTAAATTTTACTTTGATGAATTTGACTTGACTACTCACATGAGAACTCACACAGGTGAGAAGCCTTATTCTTGTGAAACTTGTGGTAAATGTTTATCTTCTAAAAAAGGCTTGACTAGGCACATGATAATTCACACAGTTAAGAAGCCATATTCATGTGAAGCCTGTGGTAAATGTTTCACTGATAAAAGCGACTTGACTAAACACATGAGAACTAAAAAGTTTCTCTCAGAGTGGTCGCTTGACTGATGACATTAGAACTCACAAGGGTGAGAAGCAATATTCGTGCAAAACTTGTGGATAATGGTTGAATATTGAACACAAGCACTCTGGCAAACTGGTGTTCAGAGGTCGTATCGCGACAACAGAACTAGTTTTCCAGCCGTTAGGCTGTTGGTTCACTGCTGACACATGCTGTACACAACAACATGTAAATGCAATCAAATCAAAAGGCAAAAATGAATAAAATAAAGGAATGAAAAAGCATTTTTAGTTTTATTTTAAAAGTCTCAAGAGGGTTTGATTGTCCGACCACAAGTGGCAATTGGTTCCATTGCCTCTGCCCCATTACTCCAGGTCTTACATTTGTCTGTGGAACAACCAATGAACCCATATCAGCAGACCGCAGAAAATGTACTGGGGCATAGAGGTGCAAGAGCTCAAACAAGAAAAAGAGGTAGTGCCATACAGGGACTTAAAAACCAGTGTGAACTTTAACATTGAAATTTCCCATGAGAATGAAGTCCAGGTTTCATTGTGGGCAATGACAGGGAGACCTGGAGAGGAGCAGTTGGGGGGAATGGCCTGCCTGATCTAAATCTGTGAGGTGTTTATGTTTTTGGACCTCTGTGCTTCTCATGGATTGTCCATAATGAACACGATGTTCAGGCATAAAGGTGTCCATATGATCAATTTTGTTGTCATGTTATCTGATATGTGGCCACATTTTTTAGACTCTCAGACAAAGAGAGGAGCAGAACTGTCAACTGATCACTACCTGGTGGGGAGTTGGCTTTGATGGTGGGGGAGCATACCGGTCAGACTTGGCAGGCCTAAACGTATTGTGAGGGTCTGCTGGGAATGTCTGGCAGCCTCCTGTCAGAGGGAGTTTCAATTCCAACCTCCGACAAAATTTTGAACATCTGGGAGAGGGCAGGGGACTTTGAGTCTGAGTGGGCCATGTTCCATGCTTCTATCATCAAGACAGCCGACCAGAGCTGTGGCCGCAGGGTCACCGAGCGGTGACTGTTGTGGCAACCCCCAAACCCGCTGGTGGACACAAGTGATTAGGGAGGCTGTCAAGCTAAAGAAAGAGTACTATTGGGTCTTTTTGGTCTGTGTAACTATGAAGGCAGCTGATGGGTACTGGCAGTTTAAGCAGAATGCGGCTCGGATTGTCGCGGAAGCAAAAACTCGGGTGTGGGAGGAGGTCGGTGAGACCATGAAGCAAGACTTCTGTACGGCTTTGAGGAGATTCTGGTCAACCATCTTGCGCCTCAGGAGGGAAAAGCAGTGTGCTACCATACCAACCCAATTTATAGTGGGAATGGTGTGCTGCTGACCTTGACTCGGGACATAGAGGATTGGTGGGCGTAGTGCTTCAAAGACCTCCTCAATCCCACTGGCATGTCTTTTAGTGAGGAAGCTGAGTCTGGGGACTTTGGTTTGGGTTCTCCAATCTCTGGTGCTGAGGTCACTGGTGGTCAAAAAGCTCCCTGGTGGCAAGGCACTGGAGGTGGATGTGATCTGCCCAGAGTTCCTTAAGGCTCTGGATGTTGTGGTGCTGCAGTATTGCGTGGACATTGGGGCCATTTTTCATTTAATTTTATTTCACCTTATTTGTAAAGGCCCTTCCACGACCTTATCGGATGCCCAAGGTGCTGGACAATCAACAAGTACAAGTTAAACAGAATAAATCATAAACCCTAATAAAAAAGACCACATTATATATAGGACAATGAAGCCACGCTACGACATCTGTTGTTGGAAAGCCATGACATAAAAATGCATCATCAAATGAGACTTAAAAACCAGCAAGGAAGGTGACTGAAGCACGGTTAGAGGCAGTCCATTCCATAGCCTCGGAGCCAACACAAAGAATGCACAATCCCCTCGTGACTTGCAGGGCTCCATCAAATTAAACCCATCTCTCCTCAAAAGATTTAGGAAGCAAATAAGCCATTTGGTTGCCAGTAAAGATATAATGTTTACATATTTACGGAATCACCACTCTGCTGTAGTGTTTGTTTGTTGTTGTTGTAATTTTCCAGATGCTTTACATTGATGCTGTGTGTGATTTCCTGTCCATCCCTATGTTAACTATGGAGATCGACACCTCCCAGGAGCTTTTAGCAAAAAGAGAACCCGATCCTATCTACAGCAGTTTGATGAGAAGATTCTGGGATGAATCTGAAACATTTCAGACTGGTGTGAATCTAACCATAGACTATGAGGACTTCCATTTGACGTAAAGATGTTCCGCTGACGTAACATGATGCTCTTGGTGTGACTTGGTGCATAGGACTGGATTCTATTTTGGCCACAACACGCTTCTGGGATGCATTACGCTTTGTAGTTATAATAAGGCTGGACAGGAAATCAGACATGGTATCAGTGTAAAGCGTCTAGTAAATTTTAAACAATAGACTATTGCAGAGTTATAATCCCTTAAAACATTACGTCTTTATCGGTGACCAAATGGCTTATTTCCTCCCTGCATCTTTTGAGGAGAGAAACAATGTGTTTTTTAGCATGGGCAACATTTTCATCCTGTTGGAGGAGAATCACAACAATATATATGACACTACATGGTCATTTTACAAAGACAACACCAAAAATGAGATGGCATGTGCCAAAATATCAACAATTATGGAAGTGAATGTAAATTTAAAAACTTAACATGTAAAAAAAAAGTGATTTTAAAGCATACGGCCTCTTCTCTTGTGATTTTCCAACTACATGGAATAAAATCACGTTGCTGTTGTAATGTGCTGCAGGTGCACACATGCTAATTGGGAGACACACAAGTGAGAAGCCTTTTCCATGTCTGATCCGTGGACAGAGACTCAGACATCTTTAACTTGTCCATCTTCACTGGCTGCCAGTCAACCTCAGGGTTCATTTAAATGGACAAGCACTATCATACATTGGTGATCTTCTCAGTCCCTACACCACCAGCAGGTCCCTGAGGTCCAGTGACCAAAGTCTACTGGTTGAGCTACCATCAGGGACAAGAAGAGGCTGCAGCGTGTTGTACGCTCTGCTGAGAAGGTCGTTGACTGCAAACGTCCCTCTATACAGGGCCTGAACACCTCCAAGACATTTGAGCATGCAGGTTGGATCACAGCAGACCTGTCTCACCCTGGACAATGTTTTCGACCTGCTCTCATCTGGCAGGAGGCTCCGATCCATTTGGACCAGAATCTCTCACCACTAGAACAGCTTCTTCCCCTCTGCTGTTGGAATCATGCATAACAATCCTAGGAATGCCCACTCCAGTTGCTTTGTTTCAGTCACCCGACCCTGTGTTGTGTTTGCACCTGACTGTTCCGCTCTGACCGGTACCTACACTGTCTTGTATACATATTAGCTGTTTATCTAATTATTGCCTCTCTACATTATTAATTTTATTGTGTTTATTTCTTAATTCTACTTATCTCTTTTTTAGCACAAAGTACTGCAGCAATTTCCCAATGTTGTGATTCTCAAACACAAACCCTTCTGATTCTGATAGTAATGTGATACTATGTGTAAAGATCAATCAGGTTGATATTCTATATTTATATAGAATCATCACATCTTATTGGTCATAATTAAACCCCCCAATCTCACTACACTACAAATGTGTTAAAGCAATCAAAACAATAGAGCTTTTAAAATGTGGGGAAATGAGATGCAATAACAGTACCAATATGTCAGGCAACGTAATTATCGGCTTTGTGACACCACAATGGAAATACTAAATGAATGTTACACAGTCAGATATGTAAGAGGGAAAAAAGACAACTGATTCTAAACCTTAAAAGACTTCAACCAAATCTAGATTTAATTAATTTACTAGTAGGTAACTAAATCTATGGCAATAATTTACTATCTTAAACAGTCCTCTTCTCTAATCCTTTAACGTTCTTCCTTCATACCAGTAGGTGGCGGTAATGCACCACGTTATTGTTTGACTTCACTGCTAACATAAACCAGGAAGAAGACTGTTAGCTAGCTTAGCTTGTTTTGGTTTTTGAGGTAAATGCTAGACTCCTTGCTTTAGAAATGTTTATCAACGCTAATTAACTTTGTCAGTAAGCAACTAGCTGCTAAAGAAATATTCATAAAGTCTGAAAAAGACAGCTGGATATGAGCTGGAAACCACAGATGAACTACAGAATCGGTATGAAACAGCAGCAGGACTCGGTTTTACTGAGGACATATTCTCAGTAACATCTTGTTGGACTCCGTTTGCATGTGAATTAAATGTTTCATTTGTGAAGCGTTTTGACACTACTGAGGTTAACTCAGTCGGTAAAATTTGTTCTCATTTTAGTGTTTCTACTTTAGATAAATAAAACGTAACATTTGAGGTATTTGGCCCATTTTAAAGTCAGATTTTTATTTTCAGGAGCTCCTATAAATCAGTTTCAAACAGACTAACGGAGTGTCTGTAAAACCATTATTATATTTCATTATTGTCTCGTATAATAGTGGTATTTCACACCATATAGGCATCTGTTAAAAGTATCTCATGCAAAAATTCACATGTCATTTCAGCCATAGTATTTAGCTATATTTATTGCAATGCTTGCAAATTGTAGAATTGCACAAAAATCATTGCATGTTATGCTCCACCCTCAGTCTTTCCCACCCCCCAGTGATAGCATGTAGGATGAAGGAGTTCCTGTATCTGCTGGTCCTTGACTTTGGGAGCAGCAGCTTGTCACTGAACAGGCTCCTCTGGTTATTTGTGATGCAGTGGATGTCTGGTTTGTGGACAGCAGTTTTTTTAAGTGTTCTCTCAGCCAATTTTTCTTGGGAGTCTACTTTAGTCCCGATCACGAGTCCAGCTCTCCTAATCAGTTTCTCCAGCCTGGTGTTGCTCCCCCAGCACACCACTGATTACACAGGCTACTTCAGACTGGTTATCCCCAGGAGCTTCATGCAGATGTTGAAAGACCACAGTCTCCTGGAGAGATAACAGGCTCAAATCATGGCAGTGGCAGCCTGAAAAGGCACTTCCTGTGGCAGCCTTGAGTTGCCACAGTGGGTCACAGACTTTATTGGTCATAGGCTTTTCACATCTAGGTGGGCCCAGCCAAGCCCTAGTGGGTTAAATGTGTTCACATCTGGGTAATCTGTGCATTTCCCGTACCAGATTTTTCTAATTTCTAACCTGCTCCCAGGCAGTCCGCTTTGTGTGGAGGTGACACAATTTTTCCTGTCTACCTGAAGAGACTTGCTACCTCTGGAAGTTGTTAAATCGCTGCTTGTTGTATGTTTACTTGACATTTAGCTTGTAAATGGCTTGTAAAATATCTATTATACTGTAAACAAGAAATTTCTCCCATTGTTTACTGTCATTCACTGAATCATGACAAACATGGCCTTTTTCATAAATAAATCACGACAAACACTGTATATTTTTGCTAATAATTATACTACAGTTCTGTATTTATGAGTAAAATCACCTATTTAAAATAAACCATACTTAATTAGCGTGTTACTATACTGTAAACAAGAGCGAAACTGTAGTAACACGCTGTGGTAGGAATATTCGACGAGGAAGCACGGATAGTCAGAATACCAGCTGAGGTTCACACCTAACTACTAGAGGGAGCCTCTTTATTTGTGGGTAGAGACAACCAGCGGCGGCTTCCTGCATACACAAGTCATTTATCAGTCTGGATGCAGTGGGGTAAACATCTACTCAAACTGTAGCATGGAACCACCGCTCCAGCCACGGCAGCCCGGGGACACTGCTGTGAGGAGCACACAGCAGTCTCGATGAGAGAGTAGGAAGCAGTAGAGTCTCCAAAAGCAACATGAGTCACAGCCTCTTGTTTAATATTTTAAAGAGTGAGTTACACCATGGGTGGAGACTAACTTCACCCACACTTCCTGTTAGAAAAATGCGCCTAAAGAAGGCATCACCAGGCGGACCAAGATAGCATCACTAGCTGCGTTTTCATGTGGCAAATTTCCTCAATCCGACTGAAATCTTGGTTGATCGGAATTTCCGAATCTCTGTTCACATGGACACGAACTGAAATGATCCGATCATGCCGTGCGTACATATGCACCAAGCATTTAATCCGATTAAATAGGTTGAGCATGCGCAGAGTTGCCTTTCACGAAAGAAAAATTGTAAACAAACGCCATGAAACGAAAAGAAAAATGTAAAAACAGAAATAACAGTTCTTCCTGCTTTCCTGATCCATTTATTCAATTTAATATTTTTATTTAGCTCATAGAAGTTACGTTTTCTTCAGTGAATAACTGCAGATATATGCTTTGCTGCATTTTATTGTTGATTAAAATAAGGGAGGGTTATGTCTGCCTCTTGATCAGCTGGTCCGCGGGTCTGAATTGACAGCTGTTGCGCTGCGCTGCGCCACAGAGCGGGGGTGGGGGGTGGGGGGGTTAGCCTCATGTTTTATTACTGAGCTCTGTTGTGGCTTATTATTAATAACATGTGACGATCAGCTGAAACTGTTGAGAAAAATCTGTTCAAACAAAATAACAGAAGATGTTCAGAAAGTTTAGAAGCCTGTGTTCATCATTAACGAACCGCATCTCAGGTCATCTGCGTTTACGTGCTTTTAACGAACACGGACTTTACTGTCGTCCAGAGTATTTAACCGAGGACGTTTTCCTACCCAACATCAGCCTCCAATCAGGTCTGTAAAACCCAGATTATCCTGTGTTCTTTACAAGCGCGTCTCCATCACCTGCTGCAGAAGCTGCTGCGTTCAAAGCTGACAGAAACGGGGATCCGTGCGCTGCAACCCCCACGATAAACCCGCGTATTTCCAGTACAGATTTGAACATCTTTGTCGAATGATTTGTGCAATAATCAGATTTTTATTTTACTTCCACAAAATGCAAGTTCTGAATTAAATATTACTGAAACGGGACGGCTTGTCGTCGGATTTAAAAGCCGCCGCTGTTAATTACACCGTCATTTTTGAAGTCAGGCAGTCCAAATGACAGCGGAGAGGCCCGCTGGCTGTTGCACACATGCGCAGTGGGCATTATTTTACCCCAACAATCCGAATGGCTGTGCACATGCACGTCAATCGGAATGAAGAACGGAATAAACCACCTCTCTCAATCGGATTGAAATTTCAATCCGATCGGGCCGAATCGGATCAGAATATTCTGATTGACATGTTTACATGCAGAATTTTCAATCTGAATGGGCATTCAATCCGATTAAATATGCGCATGTAAACGTGGCTACTGAGGCAGTGATTGACAGCAGCCCCGTGTCATGCATGCACTCTGAGTTTCTCAGTTGGAAAAACGAGACATTAACAAGCACATAGTTACACGAACACACACATACACACACACAGACTCACCGCTCAGGAAAAGAGCAAACAGTGAATATGCCACCAGCTGGAGGATTTCCTGTCCACTGTGATCCCTAGAAGAAAGGGGGGAGGAGGATGCATGGAATTCCCTCTCTGTCACGTCCAATGGACCCCACATGTTTTTATTTTTGAGGAGTGAGCACCACCTCACCCCCTACTATATGGACCCCAAAGGAGAAACCATCAACCCTGCTCAGCCATCCCCTGTCCTGAAGGGGTTATCCGTAAGACAGCGGGAGGATTAGTTTTACAATTATCTTTAGTTGTATCTAATGATTAAAGTGAATCGTGCTTTCTTCACATGCCATCTGGCCACATCATTTTCTTTTGTCATTTAGCATGTCCAGAAGTCCCACAGGATCATGTCTGGAAAAAGGAGGAGGTTGTGATTGGCCAGCAGTTCAGTAACCAGGAGACCACCTCCAGTTTGGACCAGAAAGAAACAGAACCTCTACTGATGAAAGAGGAACAGCAGGAACTTTGCATCAGTCAGCATGAAGGGCAGCCCATTCCGAAGCAGGAACATGTTCCTTTCATGGTGACTGCACCTCCTGAAGAAATGGACTGCTGTAAACCAGAACCTCTGAAAGGTAACTAGACTAAACACTTGACACACAGGTGAGAAGCTATACCCATGTGAAACTTGGTAAATGTGTCTCTTAGATTAGTAACTTGACTCTTTAAATGAGGACGGACAGGTAGGTGTCTCCTTTTGTTCTTTCAAACGGTATCTGGGACACTGGTGGAGCCATGAGATACATCAGTTTTGCTGTTGGCCTGAAGACTGTGCCACAGGGGAAATGGGTAAAAGATGAGATTTAGAGATTGATTGATTCTTTAACGACCACACAACCAGGCTGGTGGAATTTGTTTCCATTTCAGCATCTTAGAAGATAGGGTTCCAACATAACACACTGAAAATACAGACAAGCAGATTACAGCTGAACAACATGTAGTGCCAAGCTAATCATCTCCTAAGGTTAAAGATGTGGAACACTGAAAAAAAAAATGTAATCACACTGTCTCTTAACATTCATGGACTCACCTATCTTGACACGCGATGGGGAAGGCTATTGTTTGTTTAGCGTCCAGAAAACAGGATAGAATGTCTCGGCTAGTAGAAGCTAACTATTAATATTAGCAACTCCACCACATAGCATAACTCCTCCAGGTTAGCGTTATTTGTGGTCAGTGTTAGAGAGCAAACAGGGTCAGTGGTAAAGTCGTATTGCCGTTATCCAGTCTGTGACAAGATGTCTAAAAATGTCAGGAAATAAGATGTGCACATCTGAGCTTTTTTGTCCCATGAGTATGACTTACAAGGCATTCATTCCTACTAGGAACCACTGCAAATACATTTACTAAACAAGCGTTCAACACCTTAAAGCATTTTTATAGCAATTGGGATGAACCCGTTCTGGAAATGGGATCCCAGGCAGGTCTGGTAGGGTACCAAGGCCATTACAGACTATAAGAAGTGAGCATCTTCAGCCAACTGTCAATGGAGAGAGGTTTATGGTTGTTCATACTCCCTGCGGAAGTTCACAATGATTTCCTTGGTTTTAATGTTAAAGACTAGGTTACTGTTGGCAAGCTATGATGCCAGACATTGGACCTTGTTCCTATAATCTGTCTCAATTTTGTTGGTGATGAGTCCAAGAACTGTAGTGTCATTGGTGAACTTGACAATGAGGTTGGAGAAAGAGGTAGAGTAGTCACAGCTGAAAACGGTGTAGAGCAGGGAACTCAGCACACACCCCTGGATAGCCCCAGTGTTGATGTCAATGGTGGAGAAGGTGTAATTATTCACTCTAACACACTGTGTGCGATTTGTTAATAAGTCCATGATCCAGGTTCACAGGGTGTTGCTGCGGTCTGGTTGGGGGAGTTTGAAACATAGACAGTATGGCCAAATGGTATTAAAAGCCGAACTACCATCCACAAAGAGAAGCATAAGTGTTTTTGTCCTCCAGATGCTCCAGTAGTGTGTGGAGCACGAAAGCATTGGCATCCTTCATTGAGCTCTCCCTGTAGGCAAACTGACATGGATTGTGTGATAGTAATATGTTTAATGACCAGTCTCTCCAGGCATTTTGCCAGAATGGAAATGAGCGTCACAGGTCTACAGTCTTTCAGACGTGTGACAATAGACTGTTTAGAGCCAATTGTGGTGGCGTTGAAGCAGTCTGGAACCCATGATGTGTGAATTATGGTAGATTTAGGTGAAGACATTCGCTAGCTCTCTGAAGCACATTTTTGAGCACCCGGCCTAGCACTTCATCTGGTCCAGGTGCCTTCCTGATGTTAATAGTGCAGTGGACGCATCTCACCTCATGGGGTTTAGGTGGAAAGAGTGAGCAGTTTTAAATCCTTGGGGGTGATTGTGGCAGAGGACCTATCCTGGGACACTCATGTTGCCTCAGCTGTGGGGAAGGCCCAGCAATGCTATCTAAGGAAGCTGAAGAACAGTCACATTCCCTGACCTCTGATGGCGGATTTTTACAACTGTGCCATCACTAACGTTCTAACTGTCACAATCTGTCCTGTCTCCCCAGCCTCTGTTCAGTCCTGCATCTTTACTAATGCGCTTTCCATTAAAATCCCATTTTTGTAATATTCCTGCCTGCCTGCCTTTTCCCCCTGCATTTTAGATCCTCACCTCAACCACTCACCTCTACTTCGCCCCCTCTCGTGACAATAACATATGGAATTTTAGTGTGGTTTACCACTTGCACTAAGGTGGACCAGCAGCACTTTTATAAGTAGTCATATTCTGGAGTTTAATTAATTAATTAATTTATTATTTTTATTATTTTTTCAGATAAAACGTGTGTCATTGATAGTAATTTGTTCTCGTAGTTTGGTATTATATTTGGATTTTGCTCTACTTATTGCAGATCTTAGTTTGTATTTGGCAGTAGTTGTCACATTGAGAGGAGGAGGTTAGGACCCAAGATGCAGAAAACACCAGATGACTCGAGGCAGGAGCGGTCTAAAATTAAAATCCTTTTATTAGGACGAGGAACCAAAAAATCCAAAAGGGCAGGAAGTCAAAAACCAAAGTCCTGAACACCAGGAGAACGAAAGCTCACATAGAGCACAAAACCTAGAGGCGAAGCACGAAACAACGCTGACACCAAACAATGGACCGACAAGATATTAAGACACAGACAGGGCTTTATACACTGGGGAGGATGAGAGGGAGATGACCTGCAGGTGTGTGAGGAGAGAGACCAGGTGAAATGAATTACTAATTAGGGAGGAAATAAACATGACCTAAGAATAAAAACTAAAGACAAGAAGAGCAGGAACATAACTAATAATCTAAGGAAAAAACACACTAGAGAGACTAATAACATGAACAGCTGTAACTAAGGAAAATGACCTAAGAATAAAACCTAAAGACCTGAAGGGCAACAAATTTGACTAATATTCTAAGGGGGAAGCTGAAACTAGAGGAAAACACTACAGAAAGAAAAACTACAGGGGCGTGACTAAAAGGGGGGCAAGAGAGCACAGGACCTGGGAGGAGGATGCCTGAACAGGGAAACCTGTGCCCCCTTCAGACAGGCCATGAAAAACGGAAATGTTCCGGAATCTGTCCGTAAGACCTTTCTGTCTGAATACAAACATCCGGATAACGTGTTCCGGAATTTATCCGGACGAAGCCCCTAGTAACAGGTCCGGACTTGTTACGGACAGGGTGGCTGCTTCAGACTGGTGAGGTAAAGTTCCGGACAAGGGGGAGGGGGAGGAGGAGGGGACCGGGGGACGCTGTGCGCACCTATATAACTCGCTGCTGTAGCATGCGGCGAACCACGGCAGCTCGCCTCCTACGGTACCGTCTAGACGCGCGACGGAGCGCTTCACACCGCTTCAGTGATTCCTTTAACCATTGAGCTTCATCATCCAGGTCTCTTATGCGTCTTCTTGTGCGCAGAATTATGCTTAAGCGCCTCGTGATTTTTATCTTGAGAGGCGCTATAGAAATGATATTTTCTTCTTCTTCTTTTTAACATGAGTCTGATTCTCTCCCCACCCCCGCCGCTGTCAGACATCTGGAACTTTTCCCTGCTGTGTGAACGCAGCCGAAAGGACAAGTTCCGGTACAAAAGTGGTGTGTCTGAAAACACAGTTCCGGTTAAAAACCGGATTGAATTGTCCGCAAATGTTCCAGAATGTCTGTCTGAAAAGGGCTCTAGAGGGCTGAAGATCTGGGGGCAAATGGGGAACACCAGAGCCCTTTTCAGACAGACATTCTGGAACATTTGTGAACAATTCAATCCGGTTTTTAACCGGAACTGTGTTTTCAGACACACCACTTTTGTACCGGAACTTGTCCTTTCGGCTGCGTTCACACAGCAGGGAAAAGTTCCAGATGTCTGACCGCGGCGGGTGGTGGGGGGAGAGAGAATCGGACTTATGTTAAGAAGAAGAAGAAGAAAATATCATTTCTATAGCGCCTCTCAAGATAAAAATCACGAGGCGCTTAAGCATAATTCTGCACACACGAAGACGCATAAGAGACCTGGATGATGAAGCTCAATGGTTAAAGTAATCACTGAAGCGGTGTGAAGCGCTCCATCGCGCGCCTAGACGGTACCGTAGGAGGCGAGCTGCCGTGGTTCGCCGCATGCTACAGCAGCGGGCTATATAGGTGCGCACAGCGTCCCCCGGTCCCCTCCTCCTCCCCCTCCCTCTTGTCTGGAACTTTACCTCACCAGTCTGAATCAGCCACCCTGTCCGTAACAAGTCCGGACCTGTTACTAGGGGCTTCGTCCGGATAAATTCCGGAACACGTTATCCGGATGTTTGTATTCAGACAGAAAGGTCTTACGGACAGAGTCCGGAACATTTCCGTTTTTCATGGCCTGTCTGAAGGGGGCTCAGGAGACACATGAGGAAGACGCAGAACAAGGACACATGAGGGGGGTAGGAGACACAAAAGGAGAACCTAGAGAGGGATGGAGAACACAAGGAGACACACGAGGGGAGACACAGATGCAGACCATGACAGTAGTGCACAGTGGTCCATCGTTGTTCACAGGAGTCATGTTCTAAACAATAACCCGCAAAAGGCGAAATCTGTAAAGTAACTAGCTTTCTTATTTTTATGCAAAATTCCGCTAAATGTAAGAATTATCGGATGTATTTACAGTCAGGTCCATAAATACTGGAACATCAACACAATGCTGTAGGGTAATACTACATACTAGAATCAACATTGTTTGCTATCAGTTGTTAATTCTGAGAATGATCAAGCACATTAGCATATGAGCCTATATCATGTATAAATTTCTAAGATACTTATATGTCGATAGAAGTTCATACACCAATTTACTTGGTCTATTTTTAATCCAAAGATTAATGTTTAATTTAAGATAATTAAATTTAATAGCAAAAGTTTATTTTTGAATCAGAAGTTAGGAATCTTTGCTTTTTCAATTACCAGAAATATTTATACCTTTCTGTGTTCCATTTCAAAGAATGAGGCAAGGTTTAAAAATGAAGAATTTATTACTAACAATTTTAAATTTGACGATTCAGAACGACAATTTTAATGGCAATTAAAAATGACAATTCATGAATGACAATTGACCAGCTTTGATATTAAAACTTGTTTTAAAGGCAAACCTGTGGCTGAATGAAAGCTAAATTGAAAATACGAATTTGGATGCGTGGATGGATTCTCAGAAGGTTTCTTTCAGAGAGAGAAGTGCGTTCTGGGTTCACATGATGGTTTTTCAGCTAACTGTTGTTACTTAGAGAAAACAGCATCAGAAGGACGACTCTTCGTGAGGATCCGTAGGTCAAGGGAGGATGGTGTCAGCCTCCAGGTACTCGGTCCGGTAGAGGAGACTCAAGGAACCGACTCTCTGGTCCGAAGATGTCGCCGGGTACACAGTGTCGAGCGTCTGGCTTAACGCCGGGGACACACTGGCGGCGGAAGCGCCATGAAAATGGGACCGCCTTCATTCGGCGCCCTTGTTAAGCTATTCTATAGACCACATGGGCCGCCGAAGCGCCGCGAATCGCCTCGCGCCGGCGCTCCAGCTCGCGCCGTGCAGCGATCATTTCGGCGTCGGCTCTATTTTTTTCGCGAGCCGCGGGTGAATCGCGTCAATTCTGGCAGGAAGTCAAACCTAGACATAAGAGGCAGGTCGGTAAAGTTAACAAAATAAAGCATTTCAAAATAAAATTACGCAATCAAATGTGTTCATAATCAGACACTGCAGAAAAACCACACGAACAAACACATACACACACATCGAACTTGTGTGCGTGTGTGACCGCGTGAAGGGGTGTGTGGTTTTGGGTGTCTTCACGGAGCAAACAGGACAGAGAGGCAGAAAGTCTGAGGCAAGCAGTTAAGATGGATGACTTTAAATTAATTATGGAAGTTGAGAAACACAAGGAGCTGTACGACCCCCGAAAAACATGGTTATTTACGTACCCATTTCTGAAGAAACTGCTAGGATACAGCTGCAGAATTGGAGCGGGTTCCAAGAGATTCAACTGGCAGAAACATAGGTTCACACACACACACACACACACACACACACACACACACACACACACACACACACACACACACACACACACACACACAAGGTGTGTCCACGTTCAAGGAAAATATTTATTTATAATATTATTTCACACACACACGTACGCGCGCACGCGCGCACAAACACTCAAACGTAGAGGAAAAGAGCTGAGAAAAGGCAGAGAGGAAATGGAGGACACCAAGTGTTTAAAAGAAAAACTACAGCTGAGCCGAGGCGTGCCTCGACTGGGGCGCGTCTGATCTGAACTGAGGAGCGGCGAGCAGCGGCCGAATTTCGTGAGCGATTCGCTTCTCGGCGCTTCGCGGTGCTTCCGCGGCCGGTGTGTCCCCGGCGTAACTCTGAAGGAGTTTCTCGTCTTGACTCTCAAATCAATAACTCCGAGGAGTTTTTGCGTCAGCTGATTACAGTTACGTTTATTTGTAGCTATTATCGGCGTGACAGAACAGCTTGGCAGAGGATCAGGGCGGCCATTCCCCTTTCCTCAGGTTGGTGGTGGTTCACGAACTGAAGTGAAAGCTGCTGGAAGTTAGTTTAACAAAGTCCTCAGAACACGCCCACTCTCAGAGCAAGAAAGCTTTGGTCATGAGTCAAAAAACATGTGATGGCAGTTAACCTTTACTCTGGATCAGTTCTGTGTTGGATGGATAAGTGGAAGTTGACCTTCTGATTTGCTGAACAAACATTATCAACCATAATCATAGTAATCATTATTATACCCAAAGCGTAATTAAAATACATTTATACTGAACCAAGTGATTATTTATGATGATTATAATAAACAGTAATAAAGTCAGAGTTCGGACAGGATCAATTCAGAATCTTTATCATTTGGAATCACGATTTGACTGAATGATTTTTTTTCAAGCACCTCTAGCACACATGCATGCACGTGCTCACATAACTGACACACACCAGGGGCGGCGTTAGGCCCGGCTACTTGGGCTGAAGCCCCGGATCTTTCATGATAAGCCCCGGATCTAAATCTCTAAATCGCGGAAGTAACATGCAGTACCAAAGTCACACAGAGAGGGCGCAGCTGGCAGTAGTTTGTAAAGTCCCATTTAGTCGTCACACACACAGGTGTGTGGTGAAATTTATTCTCCGATTTTGACCCATCCCCTGAGTTGCAGACACGCCGCGCTCGGGAACTATTTGGTGGTTTAACCCCCCAATCCAACCCCAATCCAATGCTGAGTGTCAAGCAGGGAGGCATTGGGTCCCATTTTTCTCAAAATCTTTGGTATGACCCGACCAGGAGTCGAACCCCTGATCTCCCGATCTCAGGGCAGACACTCTACCACTAGGCTACTTATTCAGTATACAGTTTACCTGAGACTGAAGAGAAGCCCTTCAGCAGCTGGCTTCTGCAGTCTCTGAAACGCATGAGTGAAGATGGATATAAGGACGTTTTTTTAGACCAAAAGTACAACGACAGAACCCCAGCTCTGATGAGACTGGTGTTGACTCAGGTTTGTGAGTCTTATTTGAAAATATTTGTTGTGCTGCTGGTTTGCCTAAAGTTAGCTTACTATCAGGTAAAGTTGTTGGAGAAAGAAAGGGAATATTCACTATCATCTCACACTAAACACTAACAGGAACAATACTCTGCCCTGAATATGCTGAATATGTAGCTTCAGATTAAACATTATGTGGTACAAGACAAATATATATGATGTTGACTAGTGCGTGTCACGTGTGTGCGCGCATGCGTGTGTGTGCGCGTGCGCGCGCGTGTGTGTGCGCGCGCGTGTGTGTTAAGCCCCGGATCTTCTTCAGTCCTAAATCCGCCCCTGACACACACACTCCGAGTTTTTTAACTTGCCTGTCCGCACGTATTGATACACTCCTCCCAATTCCTGGGCAATGGAGGTTGAAGTCCACGCTAATGAATAGCTGCTGGTCTCCCTCGGATGCATGGGAATTCTCACCCACTTCACTCTCGATGATGTTGTTACTGTCTGAATATGTGCTTTCATGTCAGAGGTGATTTTTTTTTCCTGTAAGCCAGCGCTGTTCCTTGTAGAGAGCATATTTGTTTTTCACTCTTATTGTTCCCCGCCCTTGTGTTACCCATTTTCATTTATCTGCATAATGGGAGCGCTATAATGGCTGCATGCCCACAGTAAAACCGTTTTCCTGTCTACGTGTTTCATGGGCTGCATGTTGGATCTTGGAATGGTTGTACTGAAACTATTTCATTGTATCAGGATGCTGGTGCAATGATAAATAAAGCTACCCTCCCCTAACCTATGCTTAAGTTTAATTTTGAGATCAGACATATACCCTGTTTACAATCAGACATGTTTAGGATAGTTTTTGTCGATCTGATTTGTATTTAGACATCAGCTGTCATATGATGCATTTTAAGATGATCTGAATGTTTTTTTCTGTAAAAGAAAAGTACCTGTATGGCCACTCCCTGAATTAAATTAGAATTGTAATCATTAAATCTTATTGCTGTCATTCAGACAGCATGTCTGTTTGCTTTCATTTCTGAAGTATGAGTGAAAATTTGTCAATTTAAGGTTTTGTCATGTTTAGATGCATCGGACTATTAAAGTGAAGAGGTCATTCTTAATGCCACATTCTTCATCTGTTGTCTATTTTTCTGTCCAGAACTCCCACTGCATCATGTCAGGAAAGATGAGAAGGTTATGACTGACCAGCAGCTCTGTAAGCAGGGTACCACCTACAGTTTGGACCACAAGGAACCAGAACATCTACTGATGAAAGAGGAACAGCAGGAACTCTGCATCAATCAGCATGAAGGGCCGTTCAGTCTGAAACAGGAAAATGTTCCCTCCATGGTGACTGCTTCTTCTGAAGAAACTGACTGGTGTAAACCAGAACCAGACAGACACCAACACTTGTGTCAGAGTTCTGCTGAAGTTGAGAACCAAGATCTTGATGGATGCTGGAGTGAAAACTCAGAATCAAACAACAGTGATAATGAACTGATACAAAATAAAAGACAAAGACAAACTATAGATCACGGAGACAGTGTAGATGGTCCCAAGCTAGAAAGACTCAAGGGAACTCACACAGGTGCAAAGACATATTCATGTGAAACTTGTGGTAAATGTTTCTCTCTCGGTAGTACCTTGACTAAACACATGCGAACTCATGCAGGTGAGAAGCCATATTCATGTGAAACTTGTGGTAAACGTTTCTCTCAGAGAATAAACTTGAATGATCACCGGAGGACCCACACTGGCGAGAAGCCATATTCCTGTAAAACTTGTGGTAAATGCTTCTGTCAGAGTAGTCAACTGACTAAACACATGAGAACTCACACAGGTGAGAAGCCGTTCACATGTGAAACATGTGGTAAATGTTTCTCTCAGAGTAGTAACTTGATTCATCACATGAGAACTCATACAGGTGAAAAGCCACATTCCTGTAAAACTTGTGGTGAACGTTTCTGTCAAAGTGGTCAATTGACTCATCACATGAGAACTCATACAGGTGAGAAGCCGTTCACATGTGAAACATGTGGTAAGTGTTTCTCTCTGAGAGGAACCTTAACTAAACACATGAGAACTCACACAGGTGAGAAGCCATTTTCATGTGAAACTTGTGGTAAATGTTTCTCTCAGAGAATAAACTTGGTTGTTCACATGAGGACTCACACAGGTGAGAAGCCATATTCATGTGAAATTTGTGGTTATTGTTGCACTCACAGTAATTCCTTGACTAATCACATGATCATTCACACAGACGAGAAACCATATTCATGTGAAACTTGTGGTTATCGTTGCTCTCTCAGCAGTACCTTGACCAATCACATGAGAACTCACACAGGTGAGAATCCGTTTTCATGTGAAACTTGTGGTAAAGTTTTCTCTCAGAGAAATATGTTGGCGGTTCACATGAGAACTCACAGAGGTGAGAATCCATATTCATGTGAAACTTGTGGTAAATTTTACTTGGATAAATTTGACTTGACTACTCACATGAGAACTCACACAGGTGAGAAGCCTTATTCTTGTGAAACTTGTGGTAAATGTTTATCTTCTAAAAAAGGCTTGACTAAACACATGGTAATTCACACAGTTAAGAAGCCATATTCATGTGAAGCCTGTGGTAAATGTTTCACTGATAAAAGCGACTTGACTAAACACATGAGAACTAAAAAGTTTCTCTCAGAGTTGTCGCTTGACTGATGACATTAGGACTCACAAGGGTGAGAAGCAATATTCATGTGAGACTTGTGTTTCTCTGAGTAATCATCATCATCATCCTCATCATAAGCCTTTAATCATTAGAGGATTTCCTACATAAGACTGATTCCCAAAGTGCTGTACACAACATAATTTAAATATAATAAATAAAAAGGCGAAAATAAATAAAGGAATAAAATGAGTCTTTAGTTTTATTTTAAAAGCCTCGAGTCTATGCATGTCTCACCTCAAATGGCAATTGGTTCCATAGCCTCGGTCCAACTAAAAAGTCCCCACCACTCCTGGTTTATGTTTTGTCTGTGGGCAACCAGTAAACCCAGATCAGCGGATAGCAGTAAAATGTGCTGGGGCATAGATGGTGTACCATACCAAGTGGTCAAATTGTCACCTTCAAATTGATTAGAAAGTAACCTTTCATTTGCAGACAAAAGCCCAACGTTTGTTTGGCCCCAAATCCAAAGCAATACTCTGCCCCAGTTCTTGCCACTGCAAGAAGACAATGCATTCTCACTCAAGGCTTCATGTAGACTCCTGCATTTTCACTCTGAGGAAAAGTCATCTTGAATTATAAATAACTTTACAGCTTATAAATTGAAATAATCATATGTGTTGAATGAACATTATGTTTAAATCAAATGTTTGAATAATCTGCGCTTTAATCAGTGATGGCTTTAAAGTGATTATTGTTCCTACAGTGATCCATTTCAGATCTTATCTACACCAGATCAGTATGTGTTTGATTTAACAAAAGTTAATCTATCAATATACTCATACACATCATAATAAGATAATTATTAATGTTCACTTCACGTAAGTTTTTTAAAACATTCTCATTCACACAAAGAGTCTCTAAGTAGCTGAAGGATGGTGGGATATCTGAGAAATGTGTCACACGTGCCGGTGAATGAAGCCGAGGTGAGGCGAGGATCCAGACCGGGGAGGAAACAGGCAGACAGGTAGGAATTCTTACACTTATTTAATATGAGACACGCTGGACAATGAAACAATGATCCGACACAAGACACAGAACAGAAGGGGTTTAAATACACGAGGGCCGAGAGCTAAGGTGATTGGGAAACGAGAGGCAGGTGGGAGCAATTAACGGAGACACAAGGCTGAACAAAACGGGGTGACAGGACAGGGTGTGACAGCCCCCCCCCCCCCCCCCCCCCGAAAAAAAGGGCGGATCCCAGACGCCCACAGGAACAAGGACCAGGGCGGGAGGAGGGGGACCCAGAGAGAGGGCCAAGAGGAACCGAGGGACCAATGGAGAGGAGGCAGGGACCAGCGGAGTCCGGGGTCCTGCGCCGGGGGCAGAGGAGGAGGAGACGACGGGCACTTGGAGGTCTGAGGCAGAGGAGGAGGCGACGGGCCCTTGGAGGCCTGCATCTGCGGCAGAGGAGGAGGCGACGGGCCCTTGGAGGCCTGCGTCTGCGGCAGAGGAGGAGGCGACGGGCTCTTGGAGGCTGGCGTTTACGGCAGAGGAGCTCTGTAGGCTGGACCGGGGACAAAGACTCTGCAGGCTGGACGGGGACAAAGTCTCTGCAGGCTGGACCGGGGACAAAGCCTCTGCAGGCTGGACCGGGGACAAAGCCTCAGGTATTAAAAGCAAACCTGTGTCTGAATGAAAAGCTAAAATGAAATGCGTGGATGATATCTCAGAAGATTTCTTTCACAGGATTTTTCATGGAAGTAAATTCAAAGAGTCCGAGTACAGTGATCCCTCGCTACTTCGTGGTTCATTTATCGCGGATTCACAACTTCGCAGATTTTTCTTTGGAGCCTTATTCAAGGGAAATTTGCCGATTTGCGGAATTTTTCACCGATTCGCGTTATTTTTCTATGCGAAATATCAAGAAATTCCTGTTTTTTTTTCATCAATTTCATCAAAATGCACTTTTTGTAATAAAACTATGAAAAAAAACTAAGTAAAAATATTTTTCTATGTAAAGGGAGGGTTTTAAAAGTCTGAATACTGAATACTTACCTGTTAAATAAATACTGTAAATACGGTGTCCCTACTTCGCGGATTTTCACCTATCGCGGCCAGGTCTGGAACGCATCTACCGCGATAAACGAGGGATCACTGTACCCGGCCCGGAGGGTTACCAGGGTCCCACCCTGGAGCCAGGCCTGGGGTTTGGGCCCGTGAGCGAACGCCTGGTGGCCGGGCTTTCACCCATGGGGCCCGGCCGGGCCCAGCCCGAACCGTATACATGGACTCATCCAACTGTGGACCCACCACCCGCAGGAGGAAAAGGAAGGCTCCGGTGCAATGTGGATCGGGTGGCAGACCAAGGCAGGAGCCTTGGCGGTCCGATCCCCGGACAAGAAAACTGGTTTTTGGGACATGGAACATCACCTCGCTGGCGGGGAAGGAGCAGGAGCTTGTGGCAGAGGTTGAGTGGTACTGGCTTGATATAGTCGGACTCACCTCGACACATAGCATTAGCGCTGGAACCCAAGCCCTTGAGAGGGGTTGGACACTCTCCTTTGCTGGAGTTGCTCCTGGTGAGAGGCGGAGGGCTGGGGTTGGCTTTTTGTTAGCCCCAAGACTCTCTGCCTGTGTGTTGGGGTTTACCCTGGGGGATGAGAGGGTAGCTTCCCTGCGCCTTCGGGTCGGGGAACGGGTCGTGACTGTTGTTTGTGCTTATGGGCCAAATATCAGTTCAGAGTACCCACCCTTTTTGGAGTCCCTGGGACAAGTGCTAGATAGTGCTCCATCAGGGGACTCCATTTTCCTGCTGGGGGACTTCAATGCTCATGTGGGCAACGACAGCTTGACCTGGAGTGGTGTGATTGGGAGGAACAGCCTGCCTGATCTGAACTCAAGTGGTGTTTCGTTATTGGACTTCTGTGCAAGCCGCAGTTAGGCCATAACGAACACCATGTTCAAACATAAGGATGCCCATCGGTACACTTGGTACCAGGGCAGCCTAGGTCGCAGGTCGATGATAGACTTTGTGGTCGTATCATCTGTTTTGGACACCCAAGTGAAGAGAGGAGCAGAGCTGTCAACTGATCACCACCTGGTTGATTGTTGAGGTGGCTGTTGCTAGCTGTGGTCGCAAGGTGGCCGGTGCCAGTCGTGGTGGCAAACCCCGTACCCGCTGGTGGACACCAGAGGTAAGGGGAGCCGTCAGGCTGAAGAAGGAGGCCTACAGGGCGTGGCCGGTCTGTGCTCCTCAATCCCACCTATGTGCATTCTGAGGAGGAACCAGAGCCGGGAGACCTGGGGATGGACTGTCCAATCTCGGGGACAGAAACTGCTGAGGTAGTCAAACAACTACACAGCAGCGGAGCCCCAGGGGCGGATGAGGTTTGCCCTGGGTATCTCAAGGCTATGGATGTTGTAGGGCTGTCATGGTTGACACGTCTCTGCAACATTGCGTGGTTATCGGGGGCAGTTCCTGTGGAGTGGCAGACCGGGGTGGTGATCCCCATCTTTTAGAAGGGTGACCTGAGGGTGTGTTCCAACTATAGGGGTATCACACTCCTCAGCCTCCCTGGAAAGGTCTACTCCAAGGTACTGGAGAGGAGGGTCCGATCGATAGTTGAATCTCAGATTGAGGAGGAGCAATGTGGTTTTCGTCCTGGCCGTGGAACTGTGAACCAGCTCTATACCCTTGCAAGGGTGATGGAGGGGGCATGGGAGTTTGCCCAACACATGTTTTGTGGATTTGGAGAAGGCTTATGACCGTGTCCCCAGGGGCACCCTGTGGGGGACGCTCCAGGAGTATGGGGTGGGTGGCTTTCTGTTAAGGGCCATTCAGTCCCTTTATCAGAGGAGCGTGAGTTTGGTCTGCATAGCCGGTAGTAAGTCGGACCTGTTCCCAGTGAGGGCTGGATTCCGGTTCTGTTCATTACTTTTATAGACAAAATTTCTAGGCGCAGCCGTGGTGTGGAGTGTGTCGAGTTTGGTGGCAGGAGAATCTCGTCTCTGCTTTTTGCGGATGATGTGGTCCTCCTAGCTTCATCCAACTCTGACCTTCAGCTCTTGCTGGGTAGGTTTGCGGCCGAGTGTGAAGTGGCTGGGATGAGGATCAGCACCTCCAAATATGAGACCATGGTTCTCGACCGGAAAAGGGTGGCTTGCCTACTCCGGGTCGGGGGAGAGGTCCTACCTCAAGTGGAGGAGTTTAAGTATCTCAGGTTCTTGTTCACGAGTGAGGGTAGGAGGGATCTGGAGATCGACAGGCGGATTGGTTCAGTATCTGCAGTGATGCGGATGCTGAGCCGATCTGTCGTGGTGAAGAGGGAGCTGAGCCAGAAAGCCAGGCCCTCGATTTACCGGTCGATCTACGTCCCAATCCTCACCTATGGTCATGAGCTTTGGGTAATGACAGAAAGAACAAGATTGCGGATCCAAGCGACCAAAATGAGTTTCCTCCGTAGGGTGGCTGGGCTCAGCCTTAGAGATAGGGTGAGGAGCAAGGACATTCCGGAGGGACTCGGAGTAGAACCGCTGCTCCTCCGGATCGAAAGGAGCCAGTTGAGGTGGTTTGGGCATCTGGTCAGGATGCCTCCTGGACGCCTCCCCGGGGAGGTGTTTCTGGCATGTCCTGCCGGCAGGAGGCCCCCGGATCGACCCAGGACACGTTGGAGAGGTTACATCTCCATTCTGGTCCGGGAACGCCTTGGGGTCCTGCCGGAGGAGCTGGTGAAAAAGGCTGGTGGAGAAGGCCGGGGAGAGGACGGTCTGGAGCTCCCTAGTTGGGATGCTGCCCCCGCGACCCAGACCCAGATAAGCGGAGGAAGACGACAAGGATGATTTCTTTCAGAGAGAGAAACACGTTCTGGGTGAAAAATATTGTTTTGCAGCTAACTGAGTGGTTTCTTAGAGAGAACAGCATCAGACGCCATCTGTCGGAAAGTGTCTGCCTCACCCAGTTCAGGAGACCCTCTGTGGATCCGAGATGTCAGGTGGAGATGGTTTCCTCTGAGCACGAGGTTGGTAGAAGGACCTTAGTGCGACTCAAATCGGTCCTGAGATGTCTCCGGGTCACAATGACTGATGAAACTATTTGCGTCTCAAAATCAATAACTCTGACGGAGTTTTGCGTCAGTTGGTTACAGGTGCGTTTATTCGGAGCAATTCTATCGGTGTGACAGAACAGCTTAGTAGAGGCTCAGGCAGCCGACCCTCGTCCTCTGGCTGGTTCAAGAACTGAACTTGAGCTGCGGAGATTTTAGTTTTAACAAAACCTCAGAACATGCCCTCTCAGCGTCAGAAAGCTTGTTGTTATGGAGCAAAGACATGTGAGAGCAAGTTAACTTTACCCTGGATTCAGTTCTGCATGATGTGTACATGTGCGAATGACCTTCTGGTTACTGATCACACATTACTGATTATCATCAATAATAATTATTATTAATCCAAAGAAAATAAGTCATTTCAGTAATTAAATCCATTTATACTGAACCATGATTATTATTTATGATGATTATCATATGACTGTAATAAACAGTAAAAACAGTTTATTAAAATTATTATTTTAAAATCTTGAAGTGTCCTTCATCTTGGGACGGAACAGCAGACAGATAAAAGATGATGTTTAGCAGACTGCACGGCTCCTGATGGATAATCTGTGGAA